AACAGTTCAACTGCGCGGTCATTCACCGAAGGCCAGAGAGTGTTTGTTCGTGACTACAGCGTCAGACACCCTAAATGGACCCCGGAACTCATCCTTCGCCGGCGCGGCAACGTGCTCTACAAGACTCAAGTTGGACGCGGACCGAGTCCGGCCGACAGAAATGCAGATCCTACCCACAGGACTAAGTGAGTTGAGCCTACAAATGCCTCTGGACACTTTTGATTTCGGCAGCATCCCAGAAAACCAATCAGCCGCTACGTCAGAGGCCCAAGCTGAGCACAGATTACAACCGAGGCGCTGGACAGACAGGACCCACAAGCCAGTGAGGCTATTGCAAGTGAACCCTCGGCTTCGAAGCTACGTCAACAAACTTCAAGGGGGGTGTTAGGCGGAATTCCACACGGACCCCGCTTCACCGCTCGCACTCAGGTGTTAAGCTAGCACTAAGTCCCTCCCCCGTCCACATTTACTCTTTTCTTTACAATAAGACTTTCAAATAAGTCATGGTTGTACGGCAGTGAAGCATCGGTGTTGAACACTGATGTCATGCTGTCGATGATGATGACGTAAGAGACACAGCAAACAAGGTGCGATAAACCTCACTTTCTCTAGATTCTCTCAGATTTTGCCAAACGAACTATCAATGGGTATCCAATCAAGCACAGACGCTTCTGCTGGTTCGCTCAATACAATACCCACCCCAGTATATACAGCTCCACCGGCCTCTGCATCGCCAAAAAAGCGCAGCCGGGGGAGGGGGCAGTCAATTCGATCACAGTATTTGCGTCCTGAATTTCCGACAGACAACATACATCAATGCAAAGGGAATCCAGCATACAAGCAAGAGCCAACTGTCAACCTGCTTGCTTCAGTGTGCGAACATTGAAAGCGGCGCAATTCATACTGCCTTGTGGTTCAAAGAAGTGACCTCAGCCCGCAGGGGAAATACGCTGACTGGGAACCATTGGTCGGGTCTGGTGGGAACATCAGATTAGTAATGTCTAGGTGCGCCAGACGGTCCTAGAAAGAAGTCTCCCGTGTTAGGTGAATTGCTCACGCTTCATAGGTTATGCTGGCTAGGACATGTATCCCGCATGCCAGAAGAAAGTCTGCCTCAAAGCTATGTTTCCCAGCCTTGTGTTGAGTGTGAGCGATCGATAAGTGGACAGTGTATGACCTGCCAACGAAGTATGGTAACACTGACCAGTAAACCTAGTCGAGTCACCAACTGTCGCCTCGCTGGAAGAAGACTCAGAGACTCATCTCAGTAATGGTTAATGAAACTGACAGCGCCACTGACAGTTGATGGCGCTCGTGCATGAAAGATATCGTCTTCAGTGTGTCGCTAGCCAACGTCCTAACAAACTGAACATGTCTTCGCCTCCAAGGCTTGGTTGTATGTCCCAGGCTGTTTCCTTTCCCGGTGATCGAAACAGTAGCATCTGGAACCAATGTGCCCATGGTATAGCTGGTAAATTAAATTGAAATTGTGTTGACTCGGGAGACAACTGGTGAAGACGTTCAACATTACTACGTTTTGAGTTGAACAAACATATCGCCAAGAAATAATAATAATCGGTAAGTTGTAACACCCTTCTGGTACCAAGCTGCCATGCCACCCAAAGGAAGTCCGGGGATCGAAATACTGTCAAGCTGCCCAAACCTAGTCAGAATCAATCGAGATTCAGAGGTTGGATTAGAAAGACGGACCTTCCGGTCAGTAAATTCGCACCAGTGAACCCAGACGTTTGTCTGATGAATTGGGGAATCTCACCTGTGCACTGAAATCTACTATGAATCGACGGAACTTCGCGATGGACAATATGGTCATCGGCTTTCGATAGGTCAGTTATCATCGTCAAAGACAGCAACATCAGTGTCGACACCGACGCTTCACTGTCGTACAACCATAAGGTTCATCTCATATTTAAATCCCTAGAGTGAAAAGAAGAGGAAAAGTCTAGGTGAGGGAGGGGACCTAGAGCTGGTTTACGTCAAGCATTCTGAGGTGCCTACACCTCCAAGCGCACAATCATACAATTTGAAAAGGAACTGACGCAACGGATGCCACTGATATCCATTAACCGCCATTTCTTGCAGTCTCCAGCTGAGCACAGGCGAGGTCACGTTACCTCATTCCACCAACAACGGAACACTTCGTATTCGAAAATAGACTTCGAAGTGTCTAGGGCTGTTGCTGAGGTCGGATGCACAAAAGTTGCAGTTGAGTGTGATGCATGGAGAAAACAGTTGTCAGTTCTACTACTGAGGCTTGCGGAGAAAGTATTCACCTTGGTGTGATGGGGCGGGAGAGAAAATACTTGACTTTAAGATGGGGAGTGTTACCACAGTAGTGGCCCGCCTCAGGTCACAGCAGGTACAAGCAAGGCGAGTCGCGAGCACTAGATGAGGCAAGCAAGAAACAGCCACCATAAGGCCTACTCTCCGACAAGCACTCGGAAGTTTGGGACAAATCGACGGCGGTGAGTTACCGGAATACTAGACATGCTTGTGGATGTCGGTAAATGGGTTCGCATGATACTGGATTGCGCCTTCGAGTCTGTCGTGTCCTGACACTGCCAAGCCCAAGAACGGACAGGACTATATTAAGAGGATATTAGTTGTCCGGTGTGGATAAGATTCAACCTAAGTTTTTGGAAGATATCCGAACATTCAACACCTTCAAGACTTACCGGTAACCTCCGGGATCTTCGTGCCCCAAACTTTTTTTTCTTCCACAGCCTCACCAGCGCCTTCTTTCTCAGATTTATCTTTCGACTGCTGTTTAGGTTCCCCTGAAACATTCAGTGCCAGATTCCCAAGCTGTATTGTCTGTAGATCGATCTCCTTCTCATCGTCTTCGATGGTTTCCCACTCGTCATCCTTCTGAAAGAGTCAAATGTGAACTTTCGAACGTACCACCAGGTTGGCAATCGCCTTTGTATTGTCACTGTTAACGTCTCCTTCTTGGACATGCTGTTTGCTAACCTCCTTTGTAAGTTTCTCAAACAGATCTTGTGGGTTATGTTTCTTAGTTTTCTTTTTGGCTTTTTTGGCGAACAAATCGTCCAGCGTCATGCTCACGTAAAGTTATTTCGAATACCGCGCTCCTTGTCTATGTTGCAAACTCTATCTCAGTTCGCTGCATTGCAGAGACGACTGAACTGCGGTAGACGTAAGCTAACTAATGTTGACTTCCTGATATAACAGTATAACAGTCAAACGTCAGACTGAATGAAATGATGCTTCGTTCTTTAATAGAGGACAGAAAAACGAGCCGGCAAATTTTGATTTACAAAGCTTCGGTTGTCTATCTTCGGCGCTCGGTATTGGATTTGGCAGACGGTTGAGAGCAATCAGATGCATGCATTATAGGATGCAAAAGGTCACACACACGGAGTAAATTTGGAAAACTTAGTTTTCATGGCTTTGCTGACTTTTGCCGCCTAAATGAAAAGTTCAGGAAATCGTTGTGGCGTTTTGTACTTTATTTTGCTTCCATTATAACACTACGTATTTCATCAATTGCATAATCGTTTTTTTGTTTGAATACGAGAAAACTCCAAAGACGCGCACCCGTACAATTTCACAGAATACAAGCGTAGTCACGTGCTTCGACGCTGTCTTCTGTTTTCGCTCGCGCATGCAGCGGCCATTCGCCAGTCTCATGTGCTCAAAACAGTTCAGACCATCTTCGCAATTTATCACATGTGGGAACTGTTCAGAAGAAGACCGTTGGACAACCATAATTGGATCATTCTTTATTCGCTGACCTGGGCCAACGACGAACTATTTTAAAGAGAACAATTGGTAGGGAGTCTGTTCCATCTGACCTCTTTATTACTGTATACCCAACCTAGCGTTATTATTTTTATTTCTTTGCCACACACTCCTGGTAATCTAACTTATTGGGTAGTCAGACCACTACAAAGTTGGTGAGCCCGATTATTTCTAGATATTTTTTGAGAACTTTTCCTCCCAAGTCGTCGTAATTTTTTTCCTTTTGCCTGGTAATTATGGAGGCACAATTTGATTCGGCGGAATTAGTCGAGAATGCGATTAGCATACGTTCATCAGACCATAATCCACGCAGCCGTAGGGTATGGTTTTACCAGGTGGAGGCCGTTTTTATTACCCGACGCATCACTCCCCAAGCCACTCGATTTTCCTATGTTATCCAGCATCTTCCCTGTGATGTAGCAACAGAAGTGGATCTGTTGGAAGATATTCCAAAAAAATACCCATGACGCCCTTCGAGCGGCCGACATCAGTAGGACAGGGAAGTCAGAAAACAAAATGCTACGGGATTTATTCACCACCGCCCAACTTGGTGGCAGATCGCCATCACAACTGCTTCGCCTCATGCGCAGTCTCCTCTGTGGCTAGCAGTGGGAAGCATGGCCCAACTATGGCTCGACAGACCTCCACCCTCCACGTCTCACGTCGTCAGTGCTTTCGTTGAAGACCACAGCTTGGAGCAGTTAGCCCAAATGGAGGATAAGATCCATGAAACTTACCCCGGTGACCCCGTAAGCCCCGTCTCCAGGCGTGCACCCACTACTTCTACAGATTCCAACTCGATCCTTGCTTCCATATCGCAACTACAAGCCAAGTTAGATACTTTGACCGGTCGCCTACAACGGCTAGAGATCAACAAGCATCGACCACGTTCACGATCCCAATAGTTGTCTCCTGCCAGTCCTTCTTGATGCTAGTATCACCAAACTTTCGGTCCTCGGGCACGAAAATGCCAACCGCCTTGTTCCTTCAAGCCGCGTCCCAACACCCCTTTAAACCCCCCGGCCAGTCAGTAACGGCGACGACTGTCTGTGGCCCTCCTCGCACTAGTCGCCTATTCTGCATCACCGATCGTTCAAGTGGTTTACGTTCCCTCGTAGATACGGGAGCTGAAGTTAGTGTGCTACCACATAAGAATCCACTTCCCGATTCTGCTTCTTTCTCCTTACAGGCCTTAACGCATCGCTACATACGGCGAACGTCCCCTCACCCTTGATCTCGGATTGCGACTTGCGTTCAGGTGGACCTTCCTTTTGGCCGACGTCCAAACACCCATCATCGGTGCAGACTTCCTGACCCACTACAACCGATCTGTCGATGTGCGACACAAACGCCCTTTGGACATGCTAACTTCCCTCTCAGTCAACGGAATTAATGCTTCAGCTTCATCCACAGGCCTCCGAGTTATCTTACCGGAGTCACATTTTGCTGACATACTTGGGAATTTTCCAAACCTTACTCATCCATGTCAGTACACCCAACCGGTCGCTCATTCCGTCGTTCGCCACATCCAGACTAGAGGTTCACCTGTCCATACCAACCCCCGCCGACTTCATCCGGATAAGCTAAAAATCGCAAAACACGAGTTCGAACACATGCTGGAACTCAGCATCATCCGCACTTCATCGAGTCATTGGTCATCACCCCTACATTTGATACCCAAGAAGTCTGGAAGTGATTGGAGACCTTGTGGAGATTACCGTCCTCTCAATAACGGTACTATCCCAGACAGGTATCCCCACATATCCACGATTTCGCAAGCACTTTGTGCCGCACAAACATCTCCAAACTCGATCTCGTACGTGCATACTACCACATGCCCATAGCCCCGGATGACTCCTAAAACGGCCTTCACAACACCGTTTGGCATTCTCGAATTTACGCGTATGCCCTTCGGTCTTCGAAATGCAGCTCAGATGTTTCAACGTTTCATGGAGGAGGTTTTACATGGTTTGCCTTTTTGTATACCTATCTTGGCGATGTTTTAATCGCTAGCGCCTCCCCAGCTGAGCATGCAGCTCATCTCAGGGCAGTATTTGAGCGTCTTTCTACTTACAACAAACGTTTAAACATTGACAAGTGCTTATTCGGTGTTACCAGCCTAAATTTTTTCGGCCACCACATTAAACCCACAGGTATTTCACCGTTGCCCGATCGCGTTTTGGCCCTAGAGTCATTTCCCGTACCCACTACTCTCACCCAACTTCGTCGTTTCATCGGTATCACCAACTACTACCGGCGATTCAATCCCCATTTTACAGCTATTTTGCAGCCACTGACTGATTTACTTAGCTGCAAAGAAAAATCTGTTACTTTGTCCCCCGCCGCCTTTACCGCTTATGAAAGAGCCAAGCAAGCCATTGCTCAGGCCATAAAGTTATCTTTCCCCGACACTCATGAAAGCACAAAGCTGATTTCGACAACTGATGCTTCGAACGCTGCTAGCGGTGCAGTACTTCATCAAGTTGTTAGCAACGCCTCTCAACCACTAGCCTTATTCTCGAAAAAGATGCAGGCTGCCCCAACACGTTACGGTACTATTGGTAGTGAATTACTCTAAATTTACCTTGCTGTTCGTCATTTCCGGCAACTGTTAGAAGGTAGATCGTTTACCATTCAAACCGACCATAAGCCACTCACGTATGCTCTTAACGCCAAGCCTGATCGGTATTCACCACGCGAGATACGAAATCTTGACTACATTTCACAGTTCGCTACCGACATTCGGTACACTCCTGGTTCGGACAATGTCGTCGCAGATGCACTGTCGCTTCCTGACACAACGCTCTTCACCCTTCCACCCTTTTGTGACCTAGCCAAGCTAGCGAACCTTCAAAATAGTGAGCCTAATTTTTTGCCCATTCTATCCTTCCCTTCATTTCAAGTCTCTTCGATTCCCTTAACCCTCCAATCCGAAACCATTTTTGTGATATGTCTACCGGCTCAGCTCGCTCAATCGTCCCCGAAGACTTTTGACGCGTTGTTTTCGACCACGTACATGGATTTTCTCATCCAGGAACCAGAGAAACCAGAGAGTTGATTGGCGCACGCTTTGTTTGGCCCCTCATGAATATGGACCTGACATCCTGGGCCAATCAATGCATCGCCTGTCAACGCAGTAAAGTAACTCGTTATACGAACTCACCTATTTGTTCATTTGCTCAATCCACACACGTCCATCTCGACATTGTGGGTCCACTTTCCCCACCTATATCGTTGCCGCGATCGATCGTTTTACACGTTGGCCAGTAGCTGTACCCATTTCGGATACTTCAGTTAAAACGGTTGCCTTTTCATTTTTGCAGCACTGGGTGAGTAATTTTGGCATACCCTCCACCGTTACCGCCGATCGTGGTTCACAATTTCAGTGTAATCTCTTCCGGGAGTTTTCTACACTATTCGGTTTCCATCACATGTCGACTACCGCGTATCACCCCTGTTCCAACGGTCTGGTTGAGCGTTTTCATCGATAACTCAAAGCTGCATTGACTGCTCAAATAAACCCAGCCTCATGATCCTCTTCTTTACCCCTCATTTTGCTTGCTATTCGCTCCACTATTGAGGAGGATCTTCGCTGTTCACCAGCCGAACTAGTATACTGTACAACTTTACGTTTACCCGGTGAACTGGTTTCCCCCTATGGCGCACAGCCCGAGTCACCCGTCACATTCGCCACCCGTTTGAAACAGCATAAGTCCGAACTTCGTGCGACACCGACACACTAGAACAGAACACATCTCAACCCATTATAACACTACGTATTTCATCAATTACATAATCGTGTTCTGTTTGGATGTGAAAAACTACAAAAACGCGCACCTGTGCAATTTCACAGAATACAAGCGTATTCACGTGCTTCGAGTCTCTCTTCTGGTTTTGCTTGCGCTTGCAGCGGTCATTCGCCAGTCTCATGCGCTAACTCTGGTGTCAAAACTTTTCAGACCATCTTTGGAATCTATTGTGTTTTTAAGGAGAACAATTGGTAGGGTCTGTTCCATATGACCTCTTTATTACTGTATGCCCAACCTAGCGTTATTATTTTTATTTCTTTGCCACACGCCATTGGTGATCTAACTTAATGGGTAGCCAAACCACTACATCGTCGACCTGTTAATTGTGGTCAGAACGGCTGATAAAGCGATATCGGGGAAACTGTATGAACTTTAAGGAAGCCACGCTGAAGCTACAGAAAAAGTGGCCCCTCCTACATTGCAGCGGTGTAATGTGTCTATTGATCGTGAAAAGTAAGAATGCATGCGTGTGTGCCGTTCAGTCTATTCGACCTTGGAGTTTTTGTATATTGGAATTACTAACACACCAATACTCACCAGAGTTGTTTTTTTAATACAGAACTAATAAAAAACGAAATCACTCTATCAGTTAAGCCGTTGGCAGAAAATTGTGCAGAACGTTCGATTACGGCACAGCTTACCGCATATTTTTAGATATCATATACCGCTGATAACGGTATTTGACAACAAATTTTTCTCACTTGGATCGTGTGGTCCTGCTGTCGAGTTTCTGGTCCTAATAACAAGCTACTGTTGATACAATACCGGATCTTATTCAGAGAGATTACGCTGGGACACTGAAACGTGCACTAATTTTCGGGATCAGTTATCTAAGTGTCTTAATGAACATATTGGAATACTGGAATAGTTTGAATGCTGATCAGATGTTCCTGACAAGTAGAATACGGGGTGCTAACATTTTTGATAAGAAACATTTGTCGTACTATACGAGCCTCATAAAGGTGACCTGGGGTATGTTCCACAAACGGTTGCCTTGCAAGCCGTCAATGTTTTCCTACTTGCGGCTCGCTATTATGGTGTAGGCGAAGCTCGACGTATTACTTGCACTCAAAAATTCGTCGGCTAAATAATGGTCCTACAAATGGTTGCTTTCGCAAATACGTTCGGAGTGAAAGGTGGCTTTTATGAGTTTGCCGGAGAGAACTCCAGCACCTCAGGTTGCATCACATTTATTTCCGACTCATTTACGTCTTTGCACCTTAAGGTTAGTTCTGCATTGTGGCACTCGTGGGTTTTCTCAGAGTGTTAGTTTAGCCTACGTAGAAGCATAGAATATACTACTGGTATCATACCGCAGTGCGTGCCCCTGTGGGCTTCACAGGGAATGCACCGGTTTCCTCTTCATGTAATATGGTATTGAATGATTTCCTCCCAGGAATTACCGTTGCACGGCGGGAATATTCATGTTTATCAGAATTTCCTTCCAAAGTAAGCGCGCCCTCCACCAGGCTCATCAACACTGGCACTCTCCTACGCTCATCAGGATTTATAGCATCAACTTCATCAGGAATCATTCACTAGTGAATTTGTGATTGGGGTCAAAAATATTTCTTCTGACACCGCGTACATCCCCGGTGCGCAGTGTAGAGTTCTACTTAACAAATGCACCTGTGAATTTACTAGAAAGCTCCTGCACTCGACAAATAAAGCAAGTGATTGCTGTAGCCGCTTTCTCAGAACAAACACAATGTACCGCTATTTACGATAGCGCAGTGGTCTTTTGCATGCTTCGTGAGTAACGGGAGGCCCGCGGCAGTACACTGGACGCGCAGTACTTTCGCAGTACCAGAAAATAAGAATGCAAATAGTTTTCTCATTTACATGAGATTTATCCAGTAGAAAGAAATCACCCTCTTCCCATGAAGATGATAGGAACCATTAATTATTCGGTGCAAGACCTACCCCTTGCATACTGCTGTTTATCACGTTTTCTCAAGGCATTTAGTCACCACTTTCCGTTGTTGTCCTGCGTTTATCCAGTTGTCACAGCTGGGGTTTTCCGACAATTCATCAGGACGGCTGTCGGCTTCTGAAGTGTCATTCCCAAAAGTGGCCACCAAAGAACTACCGACTGACAACACTATATGGCACTCGCAATAATGTCAAAAACTTTTCTGCTATCTAAAATGCAGATATCAATCCAGATTCTGTTTAATCAAGTCCACTGTCAACTACTGAGCAACCGTTGGCTTAGCACATAGCATGAGCTGATCAGTCCTTACTGTAAAGACACCAACGCTCATTTCAAGTGAAACGGACGAACAAAAAAACCTCAATCAGCCGTCATCTGTTCATGCACCTTGCTCAAAACATTTACCATAACCTGGTACCAATAACCCTGAGATCTTCTAGCACGATGATAGGTAAATTTCACGTAATGTGACGTGTGAACAGACGACCCGGTGACACGCGCAAGTTCGATATCTGTAGGTGGGAGGAAGAATTCATGAAGTTTGAGTGAGTAGTGCTCAATTTGACTTACAGTTAGCTGACAAAGATGGTCCAAGAAAAGGTTCATAGCATTCAGATTGTGCTCACAAGCAACGGAAAATTAGTACTTGTGCAACAAGGTACAAGAGCTGCAAATCGGCTAATTACAGGCAAGGAGTAACAAAGTGACGTTGTTTTCGCGCAAATCCACTGAAAGGGTAACAGAGGGCTGCTAGTTTGGACGGTATGACCAATAATTGACAGAAGCTTCCTGACACGAAAATTACATGCACCAGGGGAGACGCGTCTTCAGGGTCGCCAACTGTGCCACACGTTTCTGATAGAAGATGCGTAAGTGAAGCTTGCCGAACACCACGTAGCAGCATGCTACCAGCGAAGTGGGTGTGAAATTTTTCCCGAAAGGAGTGTAGCCACCGGCTAGACAACGAACAAGCGAGCCCATAGTTTGAAACTGAGCTTTCCTATATATTAACACAGAAGCTCGGTATGTTGTCCTGGAAATACAACTGTGTCCAGGGTTTCCTGTCATCTCCTTATTGCGTGCTGTGCGGGCTAAGTTTAGGAGTGACAGATAGACAGCCACACACAATATAAGACCGACGGGGTGCACGGTGCATGCCAGCTGGGACTGGGAATAAGCCCATCAAAATTTTGCAGCCTTCTAATTATTTGTAAGCCAAGTCATCTTCTCGGTCACTGGTAGGCCATATGGAGAATAAAGCGGGGCACGTATGACAATAATCTTTAGTTTTCAGCAGAAACTTTGAATGTGGTGCGTTGACGTTTGTCCAAACTCCTCCATTCACAGCACGTTAGGCGTCTGGAATACCTAGACATTGTTAAATCAACGGGCTCAAACGAAACTCATCCGGCATAAGTCAAGCCACCGATGACCTATATGACAGGATGGTCAAGGAAGGGGATCTTTCAAGTGATTGACACATCCGCTTCCCTCCATCTATTGGGGTGGGATCTAAGGGAGAGACATTTGACGGAACATTAGTTCCGCTGCTTGTTTTGTCAAAACCTCAAGTCGATCCAACCAAACGCCCTTAGGAAATAGCAAAAGGTTCAGAGAGCGGAGAGTGGGCTGAAGCCTGTTATTCAGGGGTCGGAAAGGCTTTCAAGTCACTATATGGCCGATTTCTGCTGTTAAAGCATGTGCAGACCCGGGTTACCCCAGATATTTGAGATTTGAAGAGATTCGGCGTCCTAGTAGTAAGTACAATGTGTGGGGTAGACTATGCATACTGCTAGATCCTTTCACTTCCGTTTCTGCTTATACTCCTCAAAAAACCACCCGCCGAAAGGGTTGAAATGTCTACACTATATCCTTACGGACGATGTGAATCCTTGACAAGTTCAAAGAAGAGGAACTTGTGGTCAACATCAGAGCGTTTATAAGCGGACCTAAGCATGAAATTTGCGCATAAGACCGCAGGAGTGATTCGTTTCATTGGACAAACAGAAAGGCCTTTCGCTAAAAATTGGCAAAACAGAGTCAAGTCTTTCTGACAATACACTCATTGGCAAATAAATTTAGTCTTCACGAGAGACTTAACTGAAGCTCTCGTTTGTGGCATTCTTCAGCGTAATGTGCCGCACAGAGACCTCCTCATGTTTTACTTGGTACGATATTCGAGATATCGCAGTATATGCATGTTTCAGGTCATGGCCTTCGGACTTTAGAATTCTGACGGTGCCGGATTAAGTTCCCAATGGAAGGCTATAGCCTCTGGAAAGGCAGACGCTGCAGTTGTTCTAGTATACGGTGCTGTAGTCTCTGTAACACATGGGCTTTACTCCGCTAGGCAAAATCACGTTTCAAATAGTGTGCGCTAGCCTAAAAAACATGGCTGAAAAGGGATGTGGTGCTTCTGGGGAAGTTCCAATGAGGTCTCACTCAGTGGACTCAGGGGTACTGGAGATTTTATATACAGGAACAGGATAAAACTTAACTGATTCTCTCCAAACAGGCATCGGGGATGCGATGGCGCTGATGAAGCCTTTAAAGAGTTCCGAGTGTTGACTAACTTAGTGCCTGCACGCTTTCAACAAAGATGAAATCCTCAGTTCCGAATGCACCTCCCCTAACTGGACAAGAGAAGCCCCGCCCAAACATATAATGTAGCTTTTCTTTAGAAGTCCTTAATCTAGCAGAATAAGCTATAATCTGAAGTGGTGGACGACTTCAAGATGAGGTTAGCCACAGGTTTGCCTGCAGCTAGGTAGTGCAAGATGAGAGCGTAGGCAGTTCAGTTCACTCAAATTATTGAAAAGCTTCACTGCCACACCTCCGTCCACTGTTGACTAATTTTTGAGCCACTCTGGCAAGCTTGCCGGCACGCGGACATCTCGTAAAATCATTCGCGTTACGCTCCTCAATATGTCTACCGAATCCACTAGGTGTTTTTCAGCGGTCATCGTATTCGGGAAAGAAGAACTAGTTTAGAGCTGAACTGAAAGTTCAATCAGCTCCAGATCAATGAAAGACAAAACCGTAGCTTCTGGTGTAAGAAGCTGGATGATTATTGATTCTGACCATTGAGCCCCGTGCTTCCACGTTCTCCTACCTCTCATTTGTAGGGCTCTCCCGCTCTGCCTTAAATTTCCATTGCACTAGCACCCAGGCTCATATATCCTTCAGCCTGTAGATGACACACTTAGTTCTGTCCAACCGTTTCGTATTTTCATGTCACATCATGAACGATATTGTGCACAACCACAATCTGTGCCCAGTTGTTTCTAGCATGCTTGGGAGTTACTCTAAGCAACACGCTCAACGCATTACTTGGTGGGGCTCACACATTTCGTGAAGGCCCGGGCCCAAATAGACAAAGTTGCCGTATCAGATTATCAGAATTTCTAGACTTCTGATTTCTCTTCGCGTGAATTTCATAATCCCAAGTTCAAGAGTCTGTTGAACGCAATAGTTTAAATAGGTCAAACATACATGAACCTTAACCACCGCAAAAATGAAATTCTACCCATCGGAATGCTTCGGAGATACACCATGCTGCAACCAAGCTAGAAAGACTACCAGGATATAGAGTCGACGAAATGTTAACTACTTCATCTAGCGAAGAAGAAGAATTCGGTTCCAACGATATTACTTATGGAATGAATGCACAGTCAAAACCAACTTGGAAGGAGTCAGAGGACAGAAGGTAGTTGTTAGCATTTTAAATGACTTGAAGTGTCATTGATAAATAATGCTTTGCTGTTTCTGTTGGCAACAGTCCTGAGGAATAGACAAAAAATTCTTCCATCGTGAAGCACAAAAATTAATATTTGCACCCATGGGTGTGATGAAAAACATCGTCTTGATTCCGACAAAAGCCATTGCTTTTAAAGCCTGAATCCACAACTAAACAAATAAACGGATACCAAAATCTATGTAGGAGTATTGGAGTAGATTATTTTCCAGACACCATACTTTGCCTGGTTTATACCTCAGATGTCCAGATTAGGCAATTCTGATAAGCCGTTGAGCAAAATGACTGCGCGTCTGAGCACAGTGGCCAGCGGAATGATCAGGCTTCGGATGACACTGAGTACTCAGTGACAATTCTACTCACTGCCACGACTTCGTGAAATTTCTCGAGATCACCCCATGTGCTTTGAGCATATAGTCTGGGAAAATATGCAGTACACAAAATTGGTGAAATTGGTGTAAAAGAGCGCTCCTATTTTGAGTGTCGCTGTATGCAGTCCTTTATTTCAACGTGCTTCCGTGCATGGAGCTGCAGCATGGTCAATAAAGGTCAACTGCGTAAGCTTGCTAGGTGTGCAGCGTTCAATTTTGATCGTCCTCCTGGATTTGTTCGTCCGTTTGGTAAAAAGCTTTTAGGGACCAGGGATTCTGGGGGGGGAATCGATTGGTAAGCGCGATAAAAATTTAATGTGTGCTAGATTTTGGAATCTAGCTTTGCCAGCTGGATTTAGAAACTGTGGTAGAAGGAGACATATACACAAGATAAACAGGTACATACAACAACATCAGGCGACAGACCGAAGAGCTGGTTCAAAACCGTTACGCGTAATATTACATAGGTGCTACATG